GTTTCCTTATCTGTAAAATGAACCAGAGAAGGAGATGGCAAGCTGCTACAGCATCTTTGCAAAGAAAACCCCAAATGGGGTCGTGAAGAGTCAGATATGACTGAGCAACAACAACATATTTAGCATAACTTGAATTCCTTTGACTATAGATAGGCATTTTCCATTCAACACACACACACACACACACACACACACACACACACACTTCCTTTGACAGCTAGAAAATACTACATAAAAGTACATAGTAGGTTAAATCAGATCTTTTGTTATTGCAATTGTATAGGTTCCATCACTACTGCCTCCAAGAATGAGTCACTTATCAGACGGATTCTTTACTTTACAAAAGGTCTCACTACAAGATTCCTTCCAATAGTAAGTTCCTGATGTATATTTAAAATATTATTCAATTTATAAAAGACTGATTTATATGTAACTTTTCATTAATCTCTTATGTAGAATGAGGTCAACTTGCTCCAATGGATATAGGACTCTATATTAATTATTTTCTCCTCTTTATCACTTTCATATTTTTGAGGTTGAGATAGCAAATTCTATGTACTATCTGGAAATAAATTGTTAAAGACTAAGGTGCGTAGTCACAAATGCGGTGGCAGGAATTGAAGTGTTAAAGGTCAATTTGTGGCATATTTACTTGGTATCTACTCTTCAGGTTACAACATGTCATGTTGTAGGCTGATTAGGAAGGGGTACGAGTGAATATTTTTTTAGGAAGAAATACAGAAACAAGATGAAGTAGCTGCACATGAGTAAAATTAAGCATTTCACACAAAAATATATTTCAAAGATATGATTACATCTAATACAGGCATACAAATGAGTGTCTCAAATTTTCCAGGCCACACATTTTCTTATACATTGGCCTATACCCTCCTCAGAGGCACATAAAGAGTGAAACCAATAAAATCAGTATTCCATGCCAGTTGCCTGGCTTGAGTTATTCATTTCACTGAATAATTAACTTTCCCTTTGGGGTCTCAGAATTATTGTTTAATACATTAAAGAGAGTTCAACATTAATAGCAGAACTGTCCGTAGGGAATACTCTATGCAGAGATTACCTTGGGTCCCATGCTTTGGGACAAGGGCCCAGTGACAAAGACAGAAAAAGGCAGACAGTGTGGATTGGGCTGGGGGATGGGGAAAGCAGCATTGCTAATTGGTACTGAGAAACCTGAGGCTCATATAATAAATAATCACCAAGGTAAAAGGGTGGGCCTGCCTATCCCTCCTTCCATTGTGACTTTTTCCCTTTTAAGGCTGCCCTTGGTGTTCATCTGAGCTGATTTTTGTCACATTATGGTTAATCTCTTTTTGTTCAGAATTCTATGGCAATTTGGGTTTATATTTTTATTTTACTAGTGCTGTTTATTAATCTGTTGAAAGGCCATGGTTGTTACCGTGTTACATTTCAGACCTTCAAAGAGGATAATCCCTATTGAGAGGAACTCCAGACCTAAATATCCTGGAGTAAGCATCACCTTCATTAACTGTTTGTGAATTTATCATGTAAGAGATGATTGCAGTGGAATATAAGCTCCTTGAGGGCAGGAGCTTTGTCTTTGCATCTCTGACATAGGCCTTACACATAGTAAGTGCTTAATAAATGTTTGTTGAATGGAATTGGTTTGCAAATAGTCAATCTGGTTTGGTTATTTTAACAGTAGTCATATGATTAAAAGAGTAAGGTCATTTTCAGAGTAGAACATGTTTTGCAGCAAAGCAAACCACTCCAGTTTTCCATTTTGTGTTGTCTGAACTCCTCTTGTTCAGATGGCCTTTTCTTGTAACATTTTCCTTTGCTAACAGACCCAGGTAGGTTATATGGCTGTCATTAAAATAAAGGTTTAAAAACCAAATTTGAATCTATTAGTCAAATGAGTAGTGTCTAGTAAGCAATAGGGGTTGAGGGGCAAGGACTAACGTAGCCTTATTTTCAGGGAAAAGGACTGAGTTAGGAAATAAGTTTCAGGTCTTCAGTTCTCTGAAGTCTTTGACCATCATGTTTTTAGCTCAGTTTGAACCAATCTGCATGCACCCTCCCCTCCCCCCGCATCTGTGTTGGGTTAATCAGAAGTGCCTGGTGTTTTAGGACAAGGCTCTGGGATATTTGGGGTGAATCCATATCTCTAGACCAATCCACCAGTCAGCAGATAATTCCACAAGTGCCCAGTTGTGGTTTCATCCCTGCCTTGCCCTACTATGCCTTCCAAAACACTATGCTGTGCTTCAACAAGGAAAATAAGGTGTATCTTATCACTTCAATCCAAGTATATGCAATGGCTAGGATCATAATATCATAGCACCTGGAACTGGAAAGAACCTTAGAGATCATACAATAACATTTTACTGATGAGGAAACTGAGGCACAAAAGCATTGTCACACAATGGCAGATTAGGGATTTGAACTCAGCTTCCCTAGCTCCAAATTTAGTGCTCTTTTAAAGCTGTCTCTTAAGACCTTACCAGTTTTCAGTTTCTTCCACAGCCTTATCAAATGAGCAAAATCTGGGCAGCCTGATACTTCGTTATACTAGACAAGCACCACCAAGCTTTTGGAATGGACTTTTTTTTGGCATCACCTCATTTTTAAGCTCAAATCGGTGGAGTTTTGTGGAAAGAAAACTGGACTGGAGCAGAGGACAGCTAAGGGCTAATCCACTGCTGTTTCTAACAAAATGCCACGGGCCAAATCTCTTCACTTTTCTGGGCCTCAGTTGATAAATTCAGAAGAATGAAGATTTAGAGCCGGAAGGGACCTTTTCGTACAACTCTCTCACTTTTTAGAAGCAACTCAGAGCGTTCGGTGACTTGGCCAAGCCCACACATGTAGTGACAAGTCTAGATCTAACCCTGGTACCGAGGGCAACTCCACTGCTATTTCCAATTAAGCCATGCTACGGCCTCATCTTGTGAAAAGGGGCAGAATAAGCTATCAGCTTTAAGGTCCTTCCAGTTTCTAATTCTGAGGCAAATCAATTCACACAATGGACTGGTGTATTTTGGAGGAGATTTTTTTATAGTACACTGAGTGGGTAAAAATATTAATTGGCATTTTCCCTCCCACCATTTAATATTAACATCAATAGTTTTAGAGATCCATATAGCACCACGAAGTAAAAGTGACAAACTCTCCCCCACCTCATAATATTCACTTCAACCCTATCTCAAAGTTGGAATCGGGATTAATTATAGCCAGCTGACATACCCAAGCGGGGAGGGCTCAGGAAAAAAACGCGTGGGGTCCTAAGGAAACTAGACACTCAGAAGTGATTCTCATATAACCTGTCAACGAACCAGAGGCGGAGGTGGGGAAAGAACGCAGATGACGAAGAGTTAGGTAAGGTCCAGTGAATCTGAGACATGAAAGGAGCAGTCATCATCAGCCAAGATGTGTTTTTCAGGGCACGGGTGCTCTCAGTCAGTTGTGTGGAACCCAGCCCAACCCCCATAGCTGAAGCTTGGGGAAGTTACAAGCAAATAAAGGGCTGAAGACAGAGGACGAGTAATTGAGGTGGCTAGGGAAAACAGAAGGGGAAGGGGAAGGGAAAGGGGAGTGCGTGCGTGTGTACGTGTGTGCGTGTGTGTGTGTTTGTGTTTAGGGTTCAAGTCTTTCCCCTTGGCCTGGCGCTCTCCTCTGGAGCGCTCGCACCCAATCCCCCGCCCTGGTTGTGCCCATTAACCATGCAGCTCAGGGAAGGCGAGGGCAGCAGCGGCGGCATCGGTAGCGGTAGCAGGAGGAGGGGTTTGTGCCCGCGGCGGGCAGGTTCCGCTGCAGCACAGCCTCTTTGGCGCGGTGTCCATCTGAGGGCACTGTCGGGTAGCAAGGAGCTGACTAATTAAAGCCCGCTGATGTCTCAGTAGGAAGAGAGACAGAGGACAGAGGTGGGGGTGGGGGATAGCTACTGTCCACTGCTCACCTCAACTTCCCTGGACCTAAAGGACTGACCCTCAAACACCTTGCATACTTCGCTTCAGCGGTTTAGCCTTAGTGAGCTGCGTTAGTGCCTTAGGAGCTCGCCTCTGGGCAACGGCCCTCCCTGACCTATCCCTTGCCTGGGACTCTTATCGTAGTCCAGTCTTGTTTCTGCCTAGCTCACTGCGGGGCGGGAAAGCTCCCTTCATGGTAACACTCAGGATGCGCGGAGTCCCACGTCGCGATCAGGCTGTTCCCCAGCACTCCCCCCCCTCCCAGCCCCGCTCGTTATGGGCTATAACCTTCCCCCCCCCCAAACCAAACCAAACCAAAACCAAATCTGTCTCCCAGTCCACCTCCCCTCTCCCTCACTTCCCTCCATCGTGGTCTGTGCTTGGGAGAGCCAGGGAACCCCGCTGACCCGGCAGCACCGGGGCTGCGGTATCAGTGTGGGGTGCGGGTGGGAGAGTGGAGGCGAGAGGAATAGCACTATTCTAGGCTCAGTCCTCTGCGCAAGAGGCACAGTCCAGATTCGGCATCTCCAGCTTCCGCTCTCAGGCGCTCCGGGGGAGGAGGGGGTTTCTTCTTTGCTCTTCCTCTTCTCCTATCCTTCAAATCACTTCTAACCCCTCAAGCACCGGTTTTAAGGGTCTGAGAAGAAAAGTCAGAATAGAAATGTTTCCCTCTCTCCCAGAAATTAGGAGAGGAGGTCCCCTGCAGTCTCTCTCTGTGTCACTTCTTTCCCTCCCCAACCAGTGGAGAAGTCAACACCTGTCTTCTCTTTGGCTGCAGGGTGAGGGGAGGAAGTGAAGGAGTAGGGTGAAGGTGGAAGATTCTTTCCTTCTTCAGCCAACAGATTGGGGGAAGGGGGCTAAAGTTAAAGTGCTTTGGGCGCACCTCCCCGCTGTAAAGAAGCCTTTGCCCCTGTAATATTAGACGCGCGTGTTTGTACATGTATGAAATCGCTCTGCGCTCGGGACCTGCAAGCCCCTCAGGTCCCTCACAGAGGTACGCATCCCCACTCTTTCCGCATCCCCCTCCTGCTTTGCACCCCTGAGTTCCTTTACCTGTTTCTCTAGCGATTCCTTTCCTGAGAGGGATGGCTTGGGAGACGGTGCCCGGTCACACACGCAGCCTTCCAACAGGTACAATCCCGAGGGTCTGGAACTGGAGTCATTCTCAAAGTAGAAGAGAAGGTTTTGCAGCAAAGCGAACCACTTCGTTTGCCATTTTGTGTTATCTGAGCTTCTCTTGCTCAGATAACCTCTTCTTGTGCCATCTTTCTTTGCCAACAGCCCCAGGTAGGTTACATGGCCATCATTCAACCGTATTCCTTTCTGCATTGTGTTCAGAAGCCAACAAGATCCAGGATTCTTACATTTTCTCAGACTAAGACCTAGGGAAACACTCACTAACTGACAAGCAGGAGCCTAACCATCTGCCTCTCTCTCTCTCTCTCTCTCTCTCTCTCTCTCTCTCTCTCTCTCTCTCTCTCTCTCTCTCTCTCTCTCTCTCTCCTTTCTTTCTCTCTCCTTTTCTTTTCTCCTAGACCAATATTTACAATTCAGGATATAATGCTTTGCTTCAGCTTCCTGAATCCAGATGTGATATTCCCAGCCAAAGCATTTCTTCCGCAGAGCCACGTTCAATGGAGAATTTGCCTTAGGCTTTCCAGTCGGCTGGAAAATCTGATAGATTCTAGAGCTTTGGATCCAGCCAAGAGGAGAGTCATGTGATGTGGATCCCTCGAAGAGCCAGTTTCAGTACCACGGACAGATACACGCTCTCAGCCTTAACAGTACAGCAACGAGGTTTTTTTTTTTAAAAGCAATATGTATATGTATAAGTATATGTATAAGTATAGGTATAGGTACATACATATGCACACATACATAGATACGTACGTGTGTGTACATATGCATATACATATGTGTGTGTGTGTGTGTAAACCTCCTCCATTCTCCTCCCCACAATTTACAAAGGGTATTTAAAAAGAAACTCAAATTTAAGTGCTGGACTATATGGGAACTCATTCAATAATCAACCTTAGGAGTAATTTTCACTTTAATATTTCTGTCTTATCAATGCTCACAGTGCACTTGGGTTAAGTTTCAGTTTTTATTCTCTCCTTCGATATATACATATATTTGCAGTACTTTTTCTAATTCAAGGTGAAGGGGATATGTGTGAAAAATAGCTCAAATAATCTTTGGGACCTCAATATTTATGTGAGGAAAAGAAGTATCACCTAATCCACTGGGGTGGGGGTAGGGTCACAGCAGTTATTAAGACAATTCCTATTCATAGCTCCATCAGTGACCTGAGAAAAGCAAGGAGCCCACTAGAGTGGTTGGCTTTCCTTTTTTTATGTTGCCATAATTAGCTAGCTCATCCTTACAATCACACTGAGGTCTGGCTTGGGAGCCACTGCTGTGAGTTTCTGCAAATACCCACCCGAAATGCCGAAAGGAGGCTTAAAAAGCAGAAGGCTCAGGGAATATGTTAGACTTCAAATAGCAGGAATGGCGCAATGATACCTTAATGATAGATATTCCCTCTTTATTTTTAGATCCCCTCGCCTACACAGTTACAAGGAATTTATCAGAGAACGTCACATTTCCCGCATGCTGCACACACAGAGAAATAACAACGTGCGACAGTAGTTCTGCAGCAGATCTCCCTTTGGCGAGAAAGGCAGATTTTCACAGATCGGTTGCAAAAAGACCAAGGTTTATTTGCAGTCAAGGGAGGCTGCCTCACTGCCATCCAAAAGAAACTGTATTTCTGGATTAAATTGATCTCTGCCCTGTCTCTCCTCACGGCTCCTTTCTCTCCACTCTCCCCCCCCCCCCGCCCCGAAGAAGCTTTATTCCCCCCCCCTTCCCCGGGTATAATTGGTGAATCCGTAGAAATCCATAGGAATTCATCCACTATCCTTAATAGAGATACACGTGCAGGAGGCAGAGAAATCACTTTACTTTCTAAAGTAATACCAGAATCTGATCTAAAAAGCCTCAGGGTATGAGGCATATTCTAAGGGATTTAAAAAAGAAAAAGTAATAACCTCATCATGATTTCTTCTGCCCATTGTCGGTTCTAACACACTATAATACTATTGCTATAATACTGTCTAAGGCCATTCACAGGTCTAAACTCTTTGATTTTGTGCCTCAGATGTAGACTATTTTTTATTGAACTAGAGATGTTAAAGGAGGGGGACAGGGGAGAAAGTTTATTCACTAGTTCCTTGGACATTACATTTAAATACAGAGGATTTGAGTTCAAATTCTGCCTCTGCTACTTATTTTGTATGTGACCATAGCCAAGTCAACAACTTCTTTGGCACTCAGTTTCCTTATCTGTAAAATGAGATTAGACTGGTTGATCTTTAACGTTCTTTACAGCTCTTAATTTCACATAACTATCCTTAATTCTGAACCAGATTTTTCTTCTCTCATGTCTTTATTCTGAAAAAGGACCATTTAAAAATTTGTTTTTTGAATTAGAGATCACATTTTTATAGTACTTTAATGTTTATAAGATAATTTTTTTTTCATGATAGCTCCCTGAGGCAGGTCATGAAGTTCTTCTCATTCTCCTTTTACAGGTGAAAAACTGAGGCCCAAAGATGTTACATGACTTGTCCGAAGTCCTGAAAGTCATACTATCAGATGATCAGTCAAAAGTGGCAGAGCCAGTGTTCAAACCAAGGTCTCCTGCTTACATATTGAATGCTCTTTATATTGCATCATACTCCTTGTCTTTCTATCAGAATGTATTAGGTGTAGAAGGGAAGTTTCAGGAAAGAATAATAACCCGATAAGAAACTATCATGATTCTTGAGTCACAACTAAGTTGGTAGCAAGATGATGCACTTCTCCTACTGTAAGTAAGCATTAGGCCAGAGAACTCTATTTCATATTTCTTTTTCTTTACAATTTAGGGACTTTTCTTCAGCTGGAATGGGAGTGTCACCAGACAAAATTTGCTCCATATTTCCCAACCTTGTACTGCTTCCTATTTGGCTGTACACCAAATTATGCTAGTATCTACAAAATTTTTATCCAATACTGCTCAAATTAACAGCAATAAACCAAAATTTAAAGGATCTGGGTAGTAACATGACATTAAAAAGTTATTCAGGGAATTGGAATGAGATGTAATACTCTACTTTCTAGCGCAGAAAGTTAGAATTTTTCTGTTTTTAAAAATGTAGTGCAGAGTGTTTCACTAGAGGGTTAACATTAAAAAAAGAAAAAGAAAAACAGCATTACCTTGTCAGTTTGATTTTGGGCAATGAGTTTGACAAAAAATTGAATTTTCATGTGGAGGTTTCTCTACAATATCTATAATAGGCAGAAGAAAGGAGGGGTCATTTTACCCCAAACAGTTCATTCCCAGGAAAAATTAGGGGCAATTTTCTGTTTTCATTTGGTCCCTTTCAATGAAATCAAGGCTAGGGGTATAGGATTAAATTGTTTTTGAAAGTTGCCTCAGTCTTGTTGCAAATGTCTGTATTGACTGAATACATGTTTTTAAACTTTAATTGAGTAAATGTGAATTCTAAGGTAGTAGTCTCATATGGCTGTCATTAGCCATATATCATAAAAGTCAAATGCTTGAGTATCTTTTTAAAAAACACATTGATCATTCTGTTCTGAAACATCCTTGCCTTTGAGTTTCATTACCCTTATGAGGAAGTTAATAGATATGAATGTCCAGGTTGAAAGGTCAATAGACATTTCAAAAAGGGACCAACAATGATTTTGGAAGATTTTTCTTCTCCTTAATATTCTATCTCTTTGTTTTTAGGCTCTTGGGAAGCTTGTTTTGGATGATATCAAAGAGTAAGTATTTCCTAGGACTCCTCAGATCTTAGTGCTAGAAATCAAATCATTGGGGATGCCCATCAATTAGGGAATGCCTGAACAAGTTGTGGTATATGAATGTAATGGAATACTATTGTGCTATAAGAAATGATGAGCAGGTGGACTTCAGGAAAACCTCGAAAGACTTATATGAACTGATGCTGAGTGAAATGAGCAGAACCAGGAGAACATTGTACACACTAAGAGCCACACTGTGCAATGACTGACTTTGTTAGATGTGGCTTTTCTCAGCAATGCAAGGATCTAAGACAACTCCAAAAGACTCACGATGGAAAATGCTATCTTCATCCAGAGAAAGAATTATGGAGTCTGAATGCAGATGGAAGCATACCACTTGCTCTCCTTTTCCTTTGTTGTTTTGTTTTACTGCTTCATCCTCATGGTTTCTCTCATTAGTTCTAATTGTTCTTTACACCACGACTAATGGGAAATATACTTAATATGAATGTATAAGTAGAGCCTGTATCAGATTGCACACTCAAAACTCAAAATCTTATAAAAGTGAATGTTGAAAACCAAAAATAAATGAATAAATTATTAAAAAAAGAAATCAAATCATTACTCAAGGAGGAATCAAATCATTATCCAGTTCATTTAGGCTAATTTATGTTAAAATATGAAAACAAAAATATTGGTATGCAGAGTGTTAACCTCTTGCCCCTGTAAAGTTTACTTTAAAAAAATGCCAAAGGCTACAAAATTCAAACAAAAATTTTTAGCTCCAAATTTCCTCCTTGGGAATGGACATAGAAGCCAAGGATAACATTGACTTGAAGTACATAACAAGTTTCAAAATTTTACAGAAGGATGATGGAAAATTATGAGTGATATTGCCTGTCGAAACAAAAAAATTCAACTGAAGGCAAAATAACCCTTCAGAAAGCTTGTGTGAGAACTAGCTAACTATGGGGCCAGCTAGGTGGTACGGTGGATAGAGCACCATTCCTGAAGTCAGGAGTACCTGAGTTCAAATCTAGTCTTAGATCAGAGACTTGACACTTACTAGCTTTGTGACCCTGGGCAAGTTACTTAACTCCAATTGCCTCACCAGAGAGAGAGAGAGAGAGAGAGAGAGAGAGAGAGAGAGAGAGAGAGAGAGAGAGAGAGAGAGAGAGAGAGAGAGAACTAGCTAAACTAGATAATTCTAAGAACATTTGAAAATGAGAGGACAAGAGGATAATGAATAGACAAAATTACAACAGATCTGCTGTCTTCTTAGCTATAGTGGAAAAAGCATATTTGCACTGTACTACCTTAATACCATATTAGTTGGTACTATGTGAGGAAGTGAACACTCAAATGTTAAATGACTTGTCCAGGGTTACACACCCAGTTTGGGGAAGAGATTGGAACTGAACCCAGACCTTTCTAACTCAGAAGCCTTCTCTCTTATCCACCATACCATTCTGTCTTCCACAAAATTTTTATGTGAATGATTTATATTTTCATCATTTATTCATTCAACAAATATTTGTTAAATATCTACTATGTACCAGGTTCTGTGTTAGGTTCTGAGGACACAAAGACAAAAATGAAATAGTCCATGTCCTTGAGGAGCTTACATCCTGGTGGTTGGAAGCAACATGAACATAAGCAAATCAATATAAAATTATATGTAAAGTAAATACCAAGTGATTTCTGGGGGGAGGGCACTAACAGCTGCTGGGATCAAGATTGGACTTGTGTAAGAGGTAGAATTAGATCTGAGTCTTGGGATTTTGCAGATGAAGATTAAGGTGATGACATTCTAGATTTCAGACATGGGAAATCACCTGGGCAAAAGCATAAAGACAGGATATGGAAGGTTGCATACATGGAAGCAACCAATAGGCCACTGTAGCTAGAATATAGA